GGTGCGTTCAGCCTTTTTCAGCTCCTTTCGTAAATGCTCTTTTTGATGATTTTTTTTTTTTTTGTCCTGTAAATGCGCCCTTTTTAATACGCCTGTAAATGATTGTGTGCGCATGGACACATGGGCTAACACAGAGGTGCTTTTACAAGCTGGAAAAACAAGGCAAACACCTGTAAAAGCAGTTGTTTGTTTGTTTTTTTGTTTTTTGTTTTTTTTGTAAATGAGGCTCTAGAATGTCTGCCTACACTTCTAAATTCTTTTTTTTTTTTACCTGGTAATCCTGCAAATAACAAACATCTGCGCCTAGTGGCTTTGTCCACTGCCCTCCACTCTCAAATCACACAATTCACCCCCCCCCCTTACGAAATATGTTCTATCTGCCATCGCAGTAGAGGGACTATAGTTCTCAGTGGAGCACAAGCACTGTAACATCACTTCCCTTGTAGTCCAGTGATACTTCCTCCAGGTCTATAACTGAACATCCCGGAACTAGAGGAAGTCTGCACATGCCAGAACATTGCACCCTCGATCTACTGATGATGGTGCTTTGCAGACTAAAATGCAAAGAAAAAAAAAAAATATATATATATATTTTGTTTGTTGCATCCCTATTTATCCAAACTGGCATTCCACAGGCCTGAAAAAGCAGTCCCACATGCAGGAAAAGCTGTAGCTGCCCTTGTGTACCTTTTGTCTGCTGTACACATGAATGTTCATATGGATGTGTTCATATTCATGCCAGTGAAGAGGGGAGACTGGAAGTTCATAAAGACACCTCCGATGGCAGTTTATATTGGAAGAAATTGATTACACAGGTTATTCTAATCTCTCGGATTATCTCCCCCCTCCTTCAAAGAAGTGTCCTCTGTAGGCATGAGATTGGTTTAGAAGAATCAAATAACCGTCAACTCATCTATACGTACCTGCTTACTTGACATAAGAGGATCAGTGATGCTTAAACAGGGTATACACATTCAGTTTTTTATTTGTTCAACCAGTAGGTTGGAAAAAAAAAAAAAAAAAACCTGACAGATCTCTGCATTCACCCAAGCAATGATATTTCTGGGATCTCCCCTACTGGGCTATTGTATTCTGACAGCGTTCAGCATTCAGGTGAATGTGGCCCTGCTGCAACCGTGTGCAATGGGGGCTGGCGGTGCTGCATTTGGGGGTAAAACAGGTGGTGAGGAGACTTTTTGCCTCTGGACAGTGGTCCAAGCATAGCTTGGGGTTATGATGAGGCGCTGAGGTTAGAGCAATACGCGTGAACCTCCCCCCCCCCCTCCCCACTGGCATACAGTATGGTGTTTTTCTATACAATAAAGTGGATATGTGCTTTAGTGTGGCCTCCTGGACTTACCTTTTGACCTACAACACCGTGGTGTGAACTGTGCCATCAGACATGCTAAAGGATTGTGGAGTATGGGAGTGGCGAGCCTACCTGGAGCAGCGCTACCTTCTCTGATCCATGGAGCATGGATTGTTTTTCCAAGGAGAGGCAGTCTTGTCACTATTGTGCATGAGCCCTAAAAAAGCAGTTCTGTTGCTACAGGATTGGAGGTCAGGAGAAAAGGAACATATATACGTACATACATACAGTACATAAACTTGCATACATACATATGCTCACTCCTCCTAAGGGCCCAATCACACTTATGAGTATTCAGCGTGCTACAGTGCACCTGCTCAGCACTTCAAAAATGCACGAAAAATGGTCTCCTTTAAATGATATGCAACTGTTCAGTTCTGTGTGCTGCGTTACAAGGCTGTGCTCTGTGATTTTGAAAAGTCTTGTTTGCCGCATCTTCTGTGCGTTTTCGTAAAAAATGCACCTTCCATCATAGTAAATGGTAGCGCACAAAAGTGATATATACCTTTTTTTTTTTATATGGTGTTTTTTTTATCACATATAAAACGCACTATGCGTTACACATTCAAAGTGTGGTAAACAGTCATGTGTTTCACGAAAACCTGTATTGTGTTTTCTGATGTACAGGTGTGAACAGGCCTCCCTCACATTTTTCATGGTAAATATCCTAAGAACTGAAATTGAGTGGAGGCTCCTGGATAGCACTAAAACTATGACCGGGGTTCTAACATATTCCCATTCTATCCAAAACTTTAAAAAAAGAGTATTGGACGCCGATACATTTTAACCATTTGCCAACTGTGCTGTAGCCAAAAGACAGCTTCAGCTTGGTCTGCTAGTTCTGGGAGGGCATCCATGGATGTCCTCCCAGATCTTGAACCTGTTGGTTGTGCTCTGTGTCCACTGTGTCCTCTGGACACAGCTGATCATAGATTGGGGTAAAAGGGCCAATCACAGCAGCCCTTTACCATGTCATCAGCTATGTCCAATCACAGCTGATCTCATGTAAACAGACTTGCTGTTTATTCGCGGTCTTTTCCTCACGCTGTGTCTCAGTACATTGTTTACACTGATAATCAGGGCACTGATTATCAGTGCAGTCCCATCACAGCAGCCTCATCAGCGCCTTTCAATGAAGAAGAAAAATTACTTTTTTTGCAAAATTTTTAACAGAAACTAAGAAAAATGTTTTTTTTTTTTTTTTTTTTCCAAATTTTCGGTCTTTTTTTTTTTCGTTTCTTTAGAAAAAACTAAAACGTAGTGATGATTAAATACCACCAAAGAAAGCTCTATTTGTCTAAAAAAAGAATGATAAAATATCCATATGGTTACTGTGGTGCATGACCGCGCAATTGTCATTCAGAGTGCACTAGCACTGAAAGCTGCAAATTGGCCTGGGCAGGAAGAGGGTGAAAGTGGAGGTGTAGTATGTTATATTAACTCCCAAATAATACTAATCCCCCAGTCTTTTTTATATATGTAATAACTCTGTATGTAAGAATAACTACCCTAGTTTTTAAGAAGCTAAATTACATAAAAGTTGAAAGTAAGAGCTTAAATTAATATGCCTTATTATTATTTCAGGTACTTATATAGCGCCGTCAATTTGTGCAGCACTTTACATATATATATTGTACATTCACACCTTGAATTTCGGACTATTCAGCAGAATTTCAACTGTGTATGACAGTCCTAACACTTTGCTACAATCCAGGAGGTGCTCTATTGGCTGCTATGAATCAATATCAAGGCTTATACAAGGAAACACATTTAAATAAATTTATTTAATGTACTTTAATAGCGCCATCAATTTACACAGCGCTTTACATATATATTATACATTCACATCAGTCCCTAACCCTCAAGGGGCGTACAATCTAAGGTTCCTAACTCACATTCATACATACACATACTAGGGACAATTTAGACAGGAGCCAATTCACCTACCAGCATGTCTTTGGAGTGTGGGAGGAAACCGGAGTACCCACAGGAAACCCATGCAGGCACAGGGAGAACATGCAAACTCCAGGCAGGTGGTGCTGTGGCTGGGATTCGAACCAACAACCCTAGTACTGCCAGGTGGAAGTGCTAACCATTTAGCCACTGTGCTGCTCACTCTAGCCACTGTGCTGCCCCTTCTCTGTTAATATATACGTAAGAGTGTTAACAGGTTTTAATTATTGAAAGTTATCATTAATTATTTGGAGGATTAATTCTTTAAAGCGCCAAATTCCAAGTTATAAATGCACTCATTTGTTTAATAATAAACATTTAATGCAAAAATTGAATTTTGGATAACTTACGCCTTTTTCTGTTTGGAAGTTATTATTACATAGAGTTATTCTTACATATATAAAAATGACCGGGGAGTTGTTATTATTTGGGAGTTAATATAACATACTGCACCAGTACTGACGTGGTTAATAAAGAACAAATATTCAATCTTGGAAGTCCGAGACTTGGATCCTTTACTGATCTTGTGCATATTTTGTACAAATGAGAACATGGAGTGGCCTGCCAGCTGAGGACTTGAGAGCAAGCTCGCTTTGGATATTTGTGTCCAATCTTTAGTGTTTATTGCAGAACTCCTATTAGCGCACTTTCATGGGATTTAAATCTGGAACACGTTTTTAATTTCTGTTTGAATTGCAGCTAGTGAGAGATTTAAATAAGATAACTTTCAGGCCTGCCTTAGGAGCAGCTTGTCCCTAACCCACAAATCTCATTAGTTTGGGTCCAGTGATCTGTACAGCTTTGACTGTAGTCAGCAGATCTGCTGCATCTAGAGTGGCGAGGAACTTGCCGAGCACAGCAAATGACTCTGCGCCTTGTTTGACTGTTTTATGGTCTAAAAATATGAGTTCTCTATACTGCATAGTCAAATCTAGAACTGGCTGTGCTAGAGCTACCGTCATCTCTTGCCAACCAGTTCGCCAACCATACAAAATGTTTGCCAGCTTTGTCCTGTCTTCTGTAGAAATGCCTTTTTAATTAAAGTGGTAGCAAACTCGTTTTGTTTCATTTTACCTACGGGTACGCTTATAATAAAACTTACCTGTAGGTAATGTTAATATCTCCTAAATGTGCACCGTCTAGAAGATATTCTCTCTTCATTAAGGCTGGCACTTGTGCTCTGGAGGAACGGCATACCTGTGCCGCTCCTTCAGAGCTGTGTGCCGTGGCCTGGGACTTCCGCGCACATGCGTGGGAGTGACGTCATCGCGGTCTGGTCTGTCAGACGGCTGGCGCTCGCAAACCTGGAAGGAAGATGGGTGAAGATGGAGGCCTCTACAGTGGTGACAGCGCGCCGCTGGAGGGATTTGTTTTAAGGTAAGTTTTACATAATGTACTAGTATGCAATTCATACTAGCACATTAGGACATTACCTTGCAGGGGACTTTTTTTTTTTTTTGAAGTGTTACTAAACCCACAACAGTAAAATCAGTCTGTATATGCAGTAAAGCATGCTGGTTATACTCACTCTGGAACCTAAGGGGTTAATCCTCTGAATTGTGTAAAAAGGCTTTGTGATGCTGACTTCTCTGCCTCTCCTCTTGTTCGAATGTCCAGGCTGGTAAGACAGGCTGAACCCGCAGCCTTTCTTCACATGCTCAGTTAGTGTATATTGCAGAGAGTGCATGTGATCTACACAGGGCCAATCAGCACTGTCCATACGGGTCAAGGGTTCTGCATCCTCCTAGAGCAGAAAGAAAACTCCTCTTATAAGTTTAACCAGTGCTCAGCTGAAGTCGCAAGAATGCTCTAACTGCTGATGGGAAAAGGTATTTAGCAGTTTATATTTACTAAAATAATTGAATTTCCGTGTTCTGTGTATTGTGGGAGACCGGATATTGCAGGGTCCTGGGTTTAGTAACACTTTAAATTTGTTAAGTTGCAGTTTACTAGCGCTCTAAAGGGAAACGGGACTATTTCAAAAGCTAACTCTACCCATATTTAGGGTGTAACTTGAAACATGGTCAGAGTCCACAGCTAATCAAAGAAGAATTCTCCTGCGCTCTAGGACTCAGACAGGTAGCGAATAGATGGAACCAGGCCTGGAGAAATCGTCCACCAATGCATAAAGGGCTGTGCGGCTCCAAAACAAGGCTGGGGAAGCCCGACCAATACTGCAGAATGAAATGAAAACAAGAAGCGCACCAACCTTGCGCATTACCTCAGTAATCAAAATGTATTAATTGTAAAAAATATACTCACAAACAGCGAATGAAATCAGGCATGTAAGTCCTCACAGGGACTTGAAGATAGCGTGAATCCCATCAAGGGAATGGGTGCTCAGTATAACTGACACGTTTCGAAGTCTAGCTCTGATGAAGAAGGGACTCCCTTTGAAACGCGTCAGCTATACTGAGCACCCATTCCCTTGATGGGATTCACGCTATCTTCAAGTCCCTGTGAGGACTTACATGCCTGATTTCATTCGCTGTTTGTGAGTGTATTTTTTACAATTATACATTTTGGTTACTGAGGTAATGCGCAAGGTTGGTGCGCTTCTCATTTTCATTTCATTCTGCAGAGTCCACAGCTGTCCACTCTCGAATCACACCCCCACCCCCTCACTTATAAAATAAGGCGGGGGGGGGGGGGGGAGCGGTGTAATGGCACGGGACCCAAAAAGAAGAGAAATCGGGGCAGCTACTGCACAGAGCAGGTAGGTATAACATGTTGTTTTATAGAAAAAAAAAAAAAGCGTTCGTATCACTAAAAAGTACATGAATATGCACTCAAATACATACATACACATAAATATAGCCTTTTTAAAAAATGCAGTGCTGCACCTGCACCCGCATTGCATTGCTGGGTGCTGCACTTTAGGGGGAGGCGGAGAGCTGGGAGACTCCTCCCTCTTCCACTGCTCTGCATGTCCGTGTCCTGATCCAGCTCCCACTGTGCTGACGCTGGGTTCAGTGGAGCAATGATCAGGGGAGTACATGTGCTGCAGCTGCGATGCTGTGGTTCATGGCCGCGGCAAAAATTAAACTGCATTTCACATTTTCGTGGAGATTATCCTTGCCATGCATATGATGCAAGTCTATGGGGCTGCATTGCAACTGCGAGCAATACATGTTATTCCATTTACAGGTTTAAACCAGGTGGAGAGGAGACAAAAACACATCCTCATCACCTGTCAACTTATGAAGAACAATCCAGTAAGGATCGCTCTTCAGAGGGTACTGCATGTGAGAATGGGCACTAAGGCTTTTTTTTTTCTTTTTAATAAGGAAGAGAGGCTAATGCAGTGCGTCCCATATGCACATAATTAGCTGTAAATGTAAAAGTCTCTTAAAAGGAATTGGCCATCGATTGATAGGTGGTATAGTCGTCATGTGAGTGTAGAAGACCCTGATTTCAGAGCGGATGTGCCAATCCCTGCATTAAATACAGTGGGAAATATCATTCTTTAGAGTCTGGGAGATAAACATCACCTCCGTGTTGGGTTCCTACTGAGCTGAGATGTGACTACCTATGTACTGCATATGGCTGGATTAGAACAAGGCTCCTTTCTATAATACTGGGCTCTGCTCCAGAGAGGGCTGAACTGTGATGGGATGTCTTTGCTGGCTTGTTACGAATGTTTTCTCTCACCCTGTAATGACTGCTCACGTAGAGTTCAGTTACAGAAATGTCATTTTTAAAGGATAATATTGAAGTTGGTTTAAAGGTAAAGGCTTTGATTGAAGAGAACCTGTCAGGATAGCAGAGCCTAAAACTGTTTGCTTGTTTTTTTTACATTTTTAAACTCCAGGACTCTTCTGATTGTCCTCTGCTTTCTATTACACACTATGGGGGTTATTAACTAAAACTGGAAGGTACGAAATCTGGTGCAGCAGCTCTGCATGGAAACCAATCAGCTGCCAGGTTTTATTGCCAAAGTGTGTTTGAACAAGCTGAAGTTAGAAGCTGATTGGCTGTCATGCACAGCTGCACCAGATTCTGAGTGCTCCAGTTTTAGTAAATCTCCTCTAATGTACTTTACTGCTCCTTCTTACAATGCAGGGCTGAGTTAAAGGGTTAGTGCTCCTTTTCAGAAAAAATAAAAAGGTGAATGAACACTGTACACTATCTCCACCCCGCATGTTTGGTGGGGACTACCACCTGCTGAACGCGACCCATTGAGGTGATTGGGGCTATGCTGAAACTGCCCTGCAACCACGTGCAATGGGGCACACTGGTGCTGCATTTAAGGGGTTAAAACAGGCAGTGAGGAGGAGACCTATTGTCTCCTTAACCACCTATCAAATGCCTCTGAAAAGCTATCCAAGCATGGCTTGCTTTTTAGCACGGTGGCAGTCCTTGCCAATATTGTGAACAAGCACTAAAAGAAACAGCAGTTCGGATCAGGATGAAAAGTAATGTACGTATAGACGCACGCACGCACATTCATTCATACATGCACACACACTTACATACATACACATTTATTCATACATACATGCATATACATTCATTCATGTGCACACATTCATTTATACATGCACACACATTCATTCATACAAACGCACACACATTCATTCATACAAATGCACACACATTAATTCATACATGCACACACATTCATTCATACATGCACACACACTTACATACACATTTATTCATACATGCACACATTTATTCATACATGCACACATTCATTCATACATGCACACACATTCATTCATACATGCACACACATTCATTCATACATGCACACACACATACATGCACACACATACATGCACACACATACATGCACACACATTCATTCATACATGCACGCACACTTACATACACATTTATTCATACATGCACGCATATACATTCATACATGCACACATTCATTCATACATGCACACACATTCATTCATACATGCACACACATTCATTCATACATGCGCACACATTCATTCATACATGCACACACATACATGCACACACATACATGCACACACATTCATTCATACATGCACGCACATACATGCACACACATTCATTCATACATGCACACACACTTACATACACATTTATTCATACATGCACGCATATACATTCATACATGCACACATTCATTCATACATGTACACACACACACTTACATACACACATTATTCATACATGTACACCTATACATTCATACATGTACACATATACATACATACACACTCAAACACACACATAAATGTAAGACTCTTTAGTCAGACGTGTGACTGCAGCACCCATCTATCTCTGTTATCATGTGCGATGGGAACATTCTATGTAGTTGTACTTTACCCCTTCCTGCAGATGCCTTCCGGCCTTTTAAGAAGTTTTAGACGTGCGGAGATGGGCATTCTGGTCATGTGAACACTATGATTGGCTGTCACAGTGGCCACATGACCAGAAGCTCCGGATTGCAAGTAGCAGAGTTCGGGAAGTTTCCATTACCCGCCAGTAACCGCGCTGGGGAGCGCACAGGAGCGGAGCACACAGGGCACGTGCGCACAACACAGCATTGCCTCCATTTTGGTACACACATATGCAGCCTCTGTGTTAAGGCCCACCCACTGAGAGGCCACATATGTGCGCATGGCTGCTGGGAAGAGTTTAAGGTACACACTGCAATAAGAACTCAAAATATATACTTACAACGTATACAAGAAACTTTTCCTTTATAGCCAACTGATCCCACCAATGCTGATTGTAAGGAATTAGGTTTTTGCAATTTTTATGTTTTTCCACATTCACAAGAACTAGGCAGCACAGTAGCTAAATGGTTAGCACTTCCGCCTGGCAGTCCTAGGGTCGCTGGTTAGGAACCCAACCCCGGCACCACCTGCCTGGAGTTTGCATGTTCTCCCTGTGACTTTGTGGGTTTCCCCCAGGTACTCCAGTTTCCTCCCACACTCCAAAGACATGCTGGTAGGTTAATTGGCTCCTGTCTAAATTGGTCCTAGTATGTGTATGTATGAATGTAAGTTAGGGACCTTAGATTGTACACCCCTTGAGGGTTAGGGACTGATGTGAATGTACAATATATGTATGTAAAGTGCTGTGTAAATTGACAGCGCTATATAAGTACGTGAAATAAAAAATAACTCTTATAGTTTGTCAGACCTGAGGGCCATCACCTGGGCATATCATGCATAAAGTTCATTACTTTCTTTTAGCTTACACTTGCGGTTGGAGGATGGTAAAAACAGGCAGTTGAGCCACATTTTTTACTGCCCCAACCCCCTCCTTTTAGGGTACAAAGGCAACCAGATGTGGTTGTACAATTTCTGTGATGGTTTTCTTCGTGGTGCCACAAGAATTATATCCCGTCACGTTCGGTTGATCATTCAGCTTGATGTGGTTGTGCTGCAATGGTGCAGGCTTTAAGGGATTAATACAGGCAGTGTGTAGATGACATATCCTTGCCACCTCTCATATGCCCTCTGAAAAGCAATGTACAATAGGTTACTCTTCAGAGGACAGTGCATGTGTAAGGGAGCCCTATGGAAATTCTTGGTAAAAAATAACTCCAGGTCTTAACACCTGCAACTGAATGAATTTTGTGCTTCCCTCTAATAACACAGAATTTGACCTGTGACTGTTTGATTTGGACCTTTTTCTGACTTTCTCACTGCATCTTCCGGGTATTCCGGGTCTCAAATTTGGGCCTTCCTATAATTTGTTGCTTCACTTTTGTTGAGAGAAAAGAGAATTCCTTTTGGGTGATCTATGTACAGGGA